CTCAAGCTCAGATAATGGTCACCTAATGCGAAGAGAGGACTCTTTGGAAAAGATTGAAGGCAAAAGGAGAAGAGGATGGCAGAGGATGAGATGGTAGGATAGCATCACTGAAGCAATGAGCATGAAACTGAGCAAACTCAGGGAGGCAGTGAAGGACAGGAATGCCTGGCACGATATGGTTCATGGGGTCACGAAAAGTTGGACATGACTTAACGACTGAACAACAACAAAAATATGAGGATTTGCTCTAACTTTAAGTAAAATCTTGAGACTTTATGAATTGTTTATAAATGCCTAGATGTCAGAAACAGTATACAGATAGTATACATAGTATACAGCTTAATTCAAAGCAAAATCCAAGAAGAAAAAAACTTGCCTAAAGTGACGCCATCAGGAAATTCATCTTGAAGATCAAAAAGTTCCCCAAATGCATGGAGGAACTCCAAAACCATTACAGCATCTCCGAAGATCTCTGGAGGTAGTCTGGTTTTCACTGGTGTTGGAACTGGAAGTTCCTGTGATGCAAACAAAATGTCAGCTTCTCTTGAGAATAACAGACTGGAAGTGGACATCACAGACTGTTAACTTCTAATAAGAAATGTTTATAGTACCAAAGTTAATGAAGCCTTTAGAAAAGAACTTCTGTGACTGCTATATATTAAATTAAAGCCCTATTTATAGTGAAATCAAGGTTTAAATTCTTGCAACTCTTCTCTCATCTATCTGGTGTAATGGGGTTAAACTACTCTCTTTTGTCAGGAGTGACAGTTTTTACCTCTCTTTCGTTTTGTTATAGGCTTTATCTAGTTTCAGACTCTTTGCTTTTAATCTTGTGAGAACTGTTTCCCATAAGAAACCTGAATATTTATTATGTGTAGATGAATACCAGGCGGGAGCCATGGCTAAGAGAGCTTTTGTACAACTATTTCATATGCCAATTGACCTGTTTCTGAATTGGGAGACTGTGCTTAGTCAGTCAGTCAGTCAGTCAGTCAGTCAGTCAGTCAGTCAGTCCTGGTTGGATTTCTGTAATGCACTCTACATGAGGCTACTTTTGAAAACTGTCTTGAAGCTGCAATGGGTCCTGAAGGCAAAACTACCTGAAGCTGCAATGGGTCCTGAATGTAGTAAAAGGGATACTTCAGTATGTTTTGTGTGAGTCACACAGAGTCCCCCATTGGGGGGAGACATTTAATAAATAAATAAATAAAAAAAATAAATATCTATGCAATGCTACTACTCCATAAATTGCACTAGCTCTCAGTAGGCCTCCAGATACAATTCAAAGTATCACCTATAAAGCCCTACATGGCACAGGGCCAAGTTATTTGCAGGACCGCCTATCTCTATTTTTTCCCACCCATCCCTCTAGGTTGCACAGGGTGAGCATCCTCCAGATCCTGGCTCTGAGACTTTGTCATCTAATGGGGCCTATCTTCTCTATTGCCGTGTCTCCCCTATGGAACAAACTTCCCCGCTCAAGGTTTAGGTGGGCCCAACCCTATTAGCCTTTTGTAGAGCAGTGAAGACCTAACTTTTCTCCTGTGCTTTAGGCCAGGATGGTAAATGAACCCTTTTTGGGTGGGTGCCTGTTATGCCTAGCTTTAGCTATGTAAGTGTGTGTGACTGTGAAATCAATTATCTTGATTTATATTATTTTTTATCTGATTTTGACTTTTTATTTCTCCCCTGCCCATTCTTTATTTTTGATGAAGCATAATATATTACAGAACACTAGTTTCTAGAACCATTACAGTCCCCCTTCCATGTAGCAGACAACGTGTGAATTCCCAAGACTAGGAAGAGATTTTTTCAACTTCTTTTCTCCTTCTTTGCATTGGGTTGGCATTTCTTGCTGACATAATATTAATAATTTTAAAAATAACAAGCAGCATTTCTCATGATTTTTTCTAAACGTTCAGATTGGAACAGAAAAATCATGCCAAGAAAGTAGATGACATAGGGAAAGGCATCACTTACATTATGATAGGCAATCCTTTTTGGCCTGGGAAGCACATTCTGCCTATAGACCATAAATGATGGGCCCAGAGACATTACATGATTAGCAGAGGGGATGGAGTTGAAATGTTCATCTCCCTTTGCATGGAGGGAAGGTTAAGAGGCAAAATGAAAAGTCGGTCTGACAGGGAAAAGTTAATGGGTGAAATGAATGTCTTAAGCCTCTGCAAATTTAATGTATCATACCCTCCCTATACCCCTCCCTATACCAGAACCCTACCTAAAACTTCAGTCCTATCTACGCTTGGGGACCCTGGAGATTACAAGTGAGATATTGTACAGCCTCATGAGTCTCATTCTTCATGAAGATGCAGGTTGGTCATTCTTGGTTTACAAAATGTCTAGGACCCTTTAACCCTTTAATGATGTTGGAATTTCCCATTCACTTCCATGGGAGGGACAAAAATGGCCAGCCTAACAAAATGAATGCCCAGCTGTAAAATAAAAAATAAAATATACTAAATCAGCAACAATTATATCATACAAACATTATAGAAACCACAAACCATAAGGCAGGAAGCTTAGATTTGAACCTTTATCTCTTGTGTTATACAGACTGAAGAGTTCCAAAAAACAAATGTTGGTGTCAGGAATGTTAGAGAACTGATACTTTCACAAAATGGTTCTATTTTATAACATAGATGAGAATTCAAGCACAACGATAACATATTGGTCTGTACCCAGAACCTGTACCAGAAGGATAAATAACTTCTATGGGCTCTAGAAATAGGCTAAGCTTTGCAAGACATGTCAAAAGCCATAGTCCAGAAGTGAAAGGATCACTTTTATTTCTTATTTTTATTTTATTGAAGTGGATTATAACAGCAATATTCCATCATGGCCCAAAAAACAACAATCAACAAGAAGAAATGGCTGATACTCTTTTCTTCACCAGTAGAGAGCACTATGACACTATGAAGTTGCTTCTTTCAGCTGTTTCAAACAGTGTGGCCTGTTTTTTCAGTAGTACAGATAGCTAAGACATTGAGTAAAGTGTCAGTTTCACAACTTCATTTAAGTTTTTTTTTCACAGTTTCTTTTTGGAAGGGGTGGAGAAGCTACAACATTTTAGCAACTCATGAGTAGACTTGGGAGAGACTCAGTCTTTGATGGTGATTAAGGAAGACCATATAGGAGACCCAAGAGCAGATGGATTAGGAAGCACTAGTTGGGGAAGGCAGTGTGGTAAGTCTAGAGAGCATGTGGATTATAAAAGAGAACAGAGAAGCTAGAGATTGTGGCCCAGAGGCAGCAAAGTGGTAGAGATATTAGGGAAGCAAATAAGGAAATTCTACAGTTTAGTGCAGGGATGGGAAAGCAGCAATTGTACAGAATGTACAGGGGAAAACATGAAGGGGCAGAGACAAGCACAATGATATAAAACAGCAGATAGACAAAGTGAGGGGTGAGTAAGAGAGAGAAAAGTTTGGGGGCATGAGATTAGTAAGGAGGCATTCCACCCTATACTGGGTCACAGTTTTCATATTCCTGTCCTACCAAGAAATTAACTTAAGATTCCAGATATAAATACACAAACCAAACATTATTCAAATATCTTACAGTGAGAGTTAAGAGCATTCTGAACTGGTAAAAGAAGGGATGATGGCTCACAGACTACAAACCACAGTCTACAAACCACTCACGTAGCAGTCCTTTTTGCTCCTCCATCTACAGTTCCACTTTCATGTGTGTATATTGTTCCTTATCTCCAAGGGTACTGCCTAACACTTTTCTGCCTATTCTAGCACTCAAGGAAATATTCATCTCTCCCCACAGATAATTTCTGCTGGTAAATTATAGGCACTATGCACTGTCTCTGCTGGCCAAAAAACACTTCTGCCTTGCATATGGGATGTATGGAACTACTATGGTCCTTATTTAATGACCACTCATTCAGCAACTGTTCAAACTTACGGCAGCGCAGAATGAGTGTACTTATGACTGGTCCTCATACTTACGTCAGTTGCAGTGTCCCCGCAGCCACATAATCATCATTTGTGACCATCTTTGCTGGCTTCCTACAAGTAAAGTTAATGGGGAGGCTGGCAGGAGATTGCAAATGGCGATCATGTGATGTCCTCACTTAACGAATGCAACAGGAAGTGCAGAAATTTCCATTGCTAAGCGGCATGGTCACATGTCACGCTTTATGACTGTGTTGCTTAGCAATGGAAATTCCGGTCCCAATTGCCGTAGTTAAGTAAGGATTACCTGTAAACAAGTTACCTCCACCTCCATTGTAAGAACTCTATGGCAACCTGGACTAAGTTCAACTCTCCGCTCACTCCTGCAAGGGATGAGTTCAGACCATGGATAAGAATTATTACCCTGCTTCTTAGGAAAATGGAGAAAGAAGTGCCAGAAAGATAAAGGTTTTTTTGGCTTTGGCCTAACTACCACTACTTGCTTTAATTCTGTCCACCATGCAATAGAGAAGGAATGCAATCTTTAACAGAAAAAAATGTTGCCCACCTCAGGACTAGAATGAAGAGATGGATGTATTCTGAAACATGTACAAATGACCATGGGGTTTCTGGAACTGTATCTTTAGAGTTTTCCAGGTCCAAGCATACTGATTTGGCAGGTTTGAAATTAAACACATAGTTAGCACAGGCTGATACACATTACAGAACAGTTATCAGCTGCCCATTTTACATTACCTTAAGATCGTCACATTCCATGTCTTCCCTGCGCTTACTCCACTGTTTTAGATGTTCTAGATATTTCTTTTTTTCTTCCCGTAGTTTCTCTCTTTCCTTGAATTACATAGAAATTTGATCAGGAAATGTTTCCTCACTCCACAACCTCACTGAAACTTCCTCATTATCTTCATTTTAATTATTTAAACTCAAAATTATTATAAAAGGTGAGAAAAGGTTAGATGATATTAAATTTACTGCCTACTGTACGGTAAAATAAATCCTGCTGGTTTTTTTAATATAGCATTCTTTTGTTTTGATGAAGTCTCCCAGAACTCCGATAATGTATGAATAAAAGGTATGTCTCTTCCACACTCTTATTGCAGGGATTAACAATTAAAAACTATTAAATGAAAATGTTCTTGTACAAGTTTTAATTGCCACAAAGTAAATCTTAAATTTCTGACCACAGTACAAACTGTTTGTTAGCCAGTGCACCTGTCAATATTATATTTTGAAAATTAAAACTACAAATGTAACCAAAAATTAACAAAGTTAACTGATATCAACAGTTAATTTAGGACATGTTATCACCTTTCATATAGGAAGCTGCCCAAAAAAACCACATAAATACTATCTGCTCTTTTTCCCAGGTGCCAAGTCTCAACAGTTCCATTTAGAAAATACCAAATAAAGCTATAAATATGATTATCACTGCCACTTCCAATCTAGGATTAGTAAAAATGCCATGCCTTTTCTTTTTCTATTTTGAGTCGCTCCTTCTCTTCTTTCTTCTTTAGTCTTTCTTCCTCCACAAGCTTCTTTAGTTCTTCTTTTCTTTTTTCTTTGTCTTGTTTCTCTTTTCTCTTGTATCTCACAGCATTTGCTTTTTCCCTTTTTAATTTTTCTATTTCAAAATACATACTGGTGAATTGGAATTAGAGCTACATTTTATAGGAACATCAAGATAAGGTATTGAACAAAAATTATTCTATAATTTTTTTTAATCAACAAATCTGGCATCAAATAATACGATTCAAAACAAATGGTAAAAAGTTTGTCAAGCCCTTTATAACCAACCAAGATTCTCACAGGTTCAGCAAAGGCAACCTTCTTGCAGTGAGAAAGGGGTTAAGTTACAGAATCTTGGAAACTGAATATCTCGGCCCTCATTTATTAATGAGTACATTAAATGAGTACATCATTTATTAGTGAGTAAATCCCCAATTCTGCTGGGTTGCTCCTTCATAGCAGGCATGGGGGTTGTTCCTGGAGGGATGAGCAAAGAATGCTGGGAATTTAATCTAAAAGTATATGCTCCCAGCAGATGCACCCAAAACGTGACGGTCAGCCCAGCAAAAGCACCAGGCAGCTATATTGGGCAGCAGCAATATAGGAAGATGCTAGAGGCAGAAGATCACTTTAGTGATAATGGTAAAAGCATCATTTCATACTGCACTAGAGAAGATAGTGGTAAACCACTCCTGCATTTTACCAAGGAAGCCATATGGGTAGAAAATATAAAATGATTGACGATACAGTGCCAAATAATGGACCCATCAGATTATGACATGACTAGATAAAAGGCTTTGGGACTTCTACTTGTAGATATTCACATGAAGGAAAAGAAAATCTGAAGCTGAAAAACCAGAATTACAAGCAACCATGGAATGTAAGAAGCATAAACATGGTAAGCTCAACACAATGAAAGATGAAATAAATTGACTATATACTGACATCTTAGGCACCAGCAAATTCTGATGGATTGGAATTGGACACTTTCATTCAGGTCATATTATTTGCAACTCAAGACATGCAAGAAAAAGAAGGAATGACGTTGCTTTCATAGTTAGGAAGGGGATAGCAAGAATAGTACTTGGCTACAATGTAATCAATGGCCAAATATAATATTAATTAGACTTCATGGACAACTCTTTCTCATGACAATTATTCCAACTTTATTATGGTCCAACCACTCAGGCAGAAAAAGAGGAGGTTAATGTTTTATGGTCAAGTTCAATTTGAAATCAACAGAACATGGAAGCAAAATGTGTTGCTTGTGGCTGGAGACAGGAATGGCAAAGTTGGAAATATTAAGGAGGAAAATGTAGTTAGACTATATGGCCTAGGAAACAGAAATGAAGCAGGAAAATTACTTATCAATTTCTGCCAATCCAATCATTTCTTCATTGCTAAAAAGTCTTATAAAAACTAAAGCCACACCTATATACATGGACATCAGCAGATGCATATATATAAATCAAATTAACTATATTATTGGTGCAAGGAAGTGGAAGAGCTCAGTTATAATAGCAAAGTGAGGGGCTGACTATGGAACAGATCATAAATTCCTTATATGCAGGTTCAAAGTTAAACTAAAGTGGAAGAAGAAAACCAAGCATTTTCCATGATATGATCTTAACCATATACAACTATTTTCAAGAACAACAACAGGAATTGTTTTGAAGTCCTGAATCTCATTCATTGGGATCCAGAGGAACAATGAAAGAAACTTAAAGAAGTTGTTAAGGATGAATGTAAAAAGAGACTGCCAAAGATCAAGAGAAGAAACTGGATGTCAGAACATATCACAGAAATTAGAGAAAAGAAGCCAAATCTACAATAAAACAAAGATCTCAGTAAGGATCTTAAAGAATTTCAGAGAGCTGTTACAAGAGACAAGAAGAAATATTACAATATCTGTAAAGACACTGAAGATGGAAACAGACACAGAAAAACAAGAAAAGTCTTTTACAAATATCTGAATTCAGAAGGAGGTTCCATCCTTGAATTGACTGAATGCTAAGGAATTGGTTGAAAGCTAAAGGACAGATAATAACTGATTCAAAGAAGATCAAACAAAGATGGAAGGAGTATACTGAAATTCTGTACAGTATTTACAACATCCAAGATACCTTTGAAGATATTCTCTACTTACAAAAACCTCTAGCAGTAGAAAATGAAGTAAGAGCAGCATTCCTGTTGTTACAAGTTAGAAGTATACAGGAACCTGACTTTGCTTTACAGGTATTCCTCGCTTAACTACCATTCATTCAGCGACTGTTCAAAGTTACAATGGCACTGAACAAAGGGACTTATGATTGCTCCTCAAAGTTCTGGCCATCGCAGCGCCCCCCGCAGTCACTTGAACAAAATTCGGGCCTGCCCACATTTACGACCGCCGGCTGAACTTACCACTGGTTCTCATATGCTGTTTTTCATTTTGGAGTTTCACTCTTTCTTTTGCTGTGTTGCTTAGATTTCTAGGACAAAAATGTTCTTCAGCAATCCTGTCCTCCTAGGAGCAAAACCAAACCTCATGAAATAGAAAAAATATTCAGAATCTGAGTATTTCAACCACTTTACAAGAGAAGACATGTTCTACTTTTAACCAAAATGAAATGTTTTGCAAAGTTAAAGGGATTTTTTGAGAAATGAAAGCAAGATTTGATTTCCCAACTGCCCTCACTCACTCAAATATGAATACTCACTGGTCCAACATTTGTTCCCTTAAATCTAGGAAGCCTAGTTGCAATGCAATTATCCATAAACATAGCCTCTCCCCGTTCTCTGTTTCAAAGATTAAATGAAAAAATAATAATACAAGTTTAAAATAAAATAAAAATAGATGGCACATTTTATTAAAAAACCTCAATATGAACAATAAAATATAGGTGGATAACCAACAAATCTAAAATATCATATGGCTAATATATTCTAATATATTGTTAAAAGCTTAAAATACTATATGGATATTCCATATCCAATTTCTAATCAAAGCATGTCTCTATTAAACCTTAAAAATACTTGGTTAACTCAATTAGAGTCAATAGGAGGAAAAAAAACCTATAGACAATTATCAGTACATTGAGACAATATTGTAAATTATATGTAGATTATATGTCAAATTAAAATATAAACTCTAAAAGCCAAATTTTGGATGTGGCACAATTCCATGTGTGGAACTGTAGTCTAAAAATGGTTACTAAATAAAACTAAATTCTGCGTCAGTTTTACTTTTTAAATATGAAGTTTCTCTAGACATTGAAGGTTAGTCCCATAATTTGATTAGCCATTCTTCCACATAGAGGGATCTTTTCCAATAAAGAGCATATAAAATCCATGTAGTTGTTAACATATACCGTGCCAGTTTATTTTGAAGAAAATGTACGGTTTAGTGAAGTTTAATAAAAATATCTCAGGATAAAATGGGTTTCAAAACTTTTTCAAAATTTATTTTCCAGTATTTTTTAACTTTGCAATGTTATCACCACATATGGAAGAAGGATCCAATCTGTCCATTAGGTTTCCAGCATTTTACAGAAAAGGAATTAATTGTTTTAGTGATCAAGACTGGAGTAATGTACCAGCAATAGAACATCTTGTACCAATTCTCTCTAACTACAAGTAAACACCAAGTTAACAAGGAACTGTACATATGAAATGCAGTATAGGGGTACTGGACATTCCCTAACCTAATGTCCTCCAGCTGAGTTTCAATACAGCGTCTATCATCTCTCATGAGCAACATGCATACTGACTGAAGATGACAGGACTTGTAATCAAATATATTTTAAGGGCTCCAGGTTGGGAATGGCTGGAATAGACTGTAATTTATAGGAAAGTTGATAAACATTAGTTGTATTATGTATTTATTTCATTGTTTTTGAGGAGATTTAATGTGGATTTGAGGATGACCATATAAACAAATCACACTCCCAGCATCCCTTCATAAGCCCACCAAATGCTGAATTCATTATAGCCTGCTTGTCAATAGATGAATAGTTGCAGAAGATTATTGCCTGACTTACATGATCATCAGATGCCAGCTTTGAAGGTCTCCTCTTTTGTTTACTTGAAGGACTGAACATAAAGATGGGTGGATTATCAGGAAAGAGATAGGAAAAAGTCTGTTCTGCTATCTTGTATTTTGCAACTGATATTGCCTTGGGAAAGAAATGTGAGAAAACAAGAGTCAACAGGTATGTCATGTACAAATGATAAATCAGTGAGTGTTTTAGAAGGACTAGAAATAAGCAACAACTTTGTTCCTTTTTTTCTAGTTCACACTACTGGAATGAGGTGCCTATATCTGGGGGCAAACCAAACAAGAGAGAATTATGGCTATTCTGAAAAACCAAGAAGGGAGAACAAACATTGTTTGACTGTTCCAAATAGCCTTTATTTGTATGAACAAACAAGGTTAAGCTAACCTTTCTTCAGAGGTTGAATAGAAATGCAGATTATTTGTAACAACAATAAAATTTCCTCCCTCTTCTTTTATTTTTCTATAACATGGACCAACAACTTTTTAAAGTGGCATTCATGTGATATAATGCCCAAATATCATATTACAAAAAATGTTACATACATCAACATATAAAAAGCCAAATCTCGTGGTATCTCAACTGAGAACACAGTTTCTATGAGATTTAGTTACCTCACAAGATTTTGATCACTCTTTAAAGATGTTTTAACTTTTTGTTTTGGAGGACAATGGGCACTATCATGATCTGTACTATATAGGGCCACTCTTGAATAAATACTACTGAAATAAAAGGCTTGTGAGACCATTTAAGACTGGATGATTACCTTCTAAAAGGGCAATATATGCCAATGTCTCAAATCTGTCAATTATGTAATCTAATATTTAGAACAGTATTTTCGAATAATACATTAAAAACACTAGATACGAAAGATTATCATTCATTTACAAAAGTAAACATATTATGCATTAATATTTACTATTGCTACAGTCTGTTGTAGTAAAGATACCAAGAAATACTGCTTTACCTCAAAGACGACAAGTGTCCCTAAACATGACTTCAAGGAAATTTTAAAATCTTTATGAGTGTATTTGATAATCTTAAAATATAATATCAAATAAAAATAAAGTATATCTATCACATAAATATAAAAAGGATTGTAGTATACCAAGATTTATGGGGAAAAAAAGTAAAACTGCAGAGTTCACTGGTTGATAAAGGACTGTCTTCACTGTAATGTCTTAAAGCCAATTAAGAGCTAAACACTTCCTAACAAACAAATATAATTTTAAGGACAAGCATATGATCATTCTTTTACTAGGATTGTCCAATTTAATGCAGGCAAGCATATTCAAAACAATGACATTTATTTGTCTAGTTTGAGATAAATTCATTATAGTCATATGACGCATATATCTTCATTCTTTATCTTAAAGTTTAATTACTTTTATTACCTTAATTTTAATAATGCCATCATGTGACTCACAGTGTTGCTTCAAAAAAAGCTTTAGCCTGTCATAAGAAAAAAGATGCTTTCTTCGGCTGTGAAAAGAAGAGAACCATCATCAAAGATCTTACCATTAGCAATGAAGTTGGTATGCAAAAATTGCAGTTTAAACAGCTTCTGGCAATTTTAATTTAAAAAAAAAAAAAGACAAGCATCCCTGTGATGCTTTTTAATTTTTTAACAGAAATATAAGGAACTTTTGTTCCTTTTTCATTAAAATGCTCTCTTCACAATCTCACAGAATTGCAATATTGTGCATGGATTCTATGCCTTTTAGGTCAGTGTATATACTTTGAATTTTAAGGGCATATCAGAGAGTCACAAGATAGCTGCCACTGGGTATGGAAGGTAGGATGGCCAGTTAAAAATTAACATTTTCCTGGAAGATGCATCTTCTTTAATCTCCTTATGATGGTCATTTCCTTCTCTCTCTTTTTATGTATCTCTCTCTCTCTCTGTTATACACAAACACACACAGCTTATTGTCACTTTTTTCTGAGCATAATTCCGTATTAAAAATCACTGGGGTAGAATCACCCTCCATTTTTATTTGTAAAAATGTACATGGGGGTCCTTTGGGTCCCAGAAACAATATTTGGAAATAAAAAAAGATGCTAAAGACTGGTAGTTTGCCTTTCAACAATTTCCTTTTTTTTTTTTTTTTTTTTAAAGAAAGTTAATATTTGAAACATTAAAGGTTAGCCTGGGGAAACCAAAGGAGGGTTGGCAGCATCCGTAGACATCATGCAGAGTATTTAAGATACATTGTATGAAAAGTCCTCTTATAGAAAGTGAATGAGCCATTAATTTATTGCATTGTTATTATGGCTATTCCCAGGCAGGTATCATTTGAAATCAAAACATTTAGCAATATTGTATCAAAACCTCCTCTCTAGCTCTAAAGCTTGACATATCAATTTTTAGAGGAATGAACTGCCTCTTTCCAATTCTGTACAACTGTTACCAACAGCTTGTGGTAGGATTTTGATTCAGTAGAGGAAGAGGGAAGAAGACAAATCTTGTCCCCTTTTTCTGCAGTGTTTCTTTCAAAAGGTGAAAAGGGCTATAGAGAGAAAATGTCATCTTTAAAGAGGATTTACCCTGCCCCCCTCCCTCATTTCTGCTAGTTGGATTGCAACCACAAGGTCATAACCAGTGGAGCTTACCGTATCTGTGATGTTTTCACTGTAACAGACTCATATAGTTGTTTCTTTATAGGCTTCACTTTGTACTTGTACAAAAAAGGATCAGTTATGGCTTTTTCATTCCTAAAAATAAAAATTAAAATCCATTATTATTGTATTTCCTCGAAAGAAAAATATTACTATTTATAATGTAAATTGTTTTAAATACTTGAGACAAAATGCACATACAAAAGATTCTCAGTCACATAAAATTAACATTTCAGTAAAGAGTGATTTTAAACTGAAATGTATTTGCTTGTGTTTGGTACAAACATAGCAAACCAAACCATGTGTATTACATTCATTACATTGAAGACCACTCAGAAACTTCAACTTGCCCAGAATATAATTACTGCATGCAAGCCGTGGAGGGCTTGCCTCAGTATATCCACATGACACCCCTGCTTCACAAGCTACACTGGTTGCCAGTGTGCTACCATGTACAATTCAAAGTGCTGGTTATCCCCTATAAAGAACTACATGGCACAGGACCAGGCTATCTGAGGGACTGCCTATCTCTTGTGGTTTCTGCATGGCCGGTACACTCTAAACAAGGTGGGCACGCCTGAGGTCCCTCTGATTAAACAGTATCATTTATTGGGACCCAGGAAGCACACCTTCTCTGTTATAACACCTGCCCTCTGGAATGAGATTCTCCCCAAGATGGCTCCCATCTTGATGGTATTCCAGATGGCCTTCTCCCAAGCCATGAACTAGGGTGGATGGGCCCCCTTGGCTGTGTTTTGTATATGTTTTTCTGTGTTGTTTGATTGCATTTCCCATCTTGTTCATTAGTTATTGTGTATTGCTTTTTAAATCTTGTTTTGTAATATAGTGTGATATATTACAAAACTGCCCACAGTCAGTCTGGAGTCAGGCAATGTTGAAATTGAATGAATGAATGGATGGATGGATGGATGGATGGATGGATGGATGGATGGATGG